GCCCTCCCCTCGTCGTATCAATATTCCGCGGTCATTCAGTACGCCGTGGTGCTCGAGGGCCAAGCTTCTTGTGATACCTTCCCTTGTTGCTCACGCAGATTTCAAAAGCACTTGTAAAGTACCCAGCAGCGCGTCACAGGATTGTTGAAGTGCACAATGCTTCATCTGGGTTTCAAATTGACTGCCGAGTTAAGTGTGTTGCCGAATTGATCACCGCGAGAAGACGCTGCTTCTCATTTTTCTTAAAATTGACCGCCGACTGAAGGGTGCACGCATGCATTGTTTTGAAAGGCGTCCGTTAATTAAGGACAGTGCTCTCTTTAGTGGTCGCATTGCAATTAAGTGTCGGTGCGTGCGTGCTCGTGTAAGGACATTGCCAGCGAACAGCCAACACGGCTGAGATGCTGGGTCAGAATCCGTGTTTGGCCACCTGTGATAAAGCCAAGGTCTTGATTGTAGTCTCAGTCCGGTTGTCAACGACTGGTCATCATAAAAAACACATTTCACATTAAAATGTACGTTTTCACTTAATATGGAAAAACATCAGCTCTGCAAACGTAAATGATCAGTTTTTCTGCCTTTCAACACAGTTTGTTCTCACCCCCGAGCTTGTGAGAAAGTCGTGCCCCTCAGCGTGTTGTTGCAAGATAATTTTAATATATTCAAGAAGTTCTTTTAAAATATATACCTTTATGTGCCAGTCTCTATCACACAAGGTTGCACTGCTTTGCGAGAGTTCCAAGCGGTGCTTTCGTCTGGTTTCGCCGAAAACAGAATTAACATAACATTTAGGGAAGACAGACTAAAAAAAAAAACTCATAATAAGCACTTCAATGGACATTCAATGATTTCAACTGGTACAGAGAATCTAATCAGCCACCTCACTCCCATCAATCTTCTCTCCACAAAGTGATGGCAAACACAAATAACGGACACTCTCATCTGCAGGGACATGCAATTTAAATGTAAAGAAGCGCCATCACCGCCTCGAAATTCCAACGTGTCATCACGCGGCTGTAAGCAGAGTGGCGTGCACAGAGGGCATGCCTGATGGACGTGAGGCTCCAGCTACCCTCGCCTCTACGAGGGGTCCAGGCTGTGCTTGGCATGGGCCCAGTGCAAGCAATGAAATGGAGCCCCTGTCACATTTCCCACCCTTCTCCCGTAACCCCTGCCACCCTCCCCCACCCACGCTCCAGGCTGTGGCCCCCCGTTGCGGTTGAACCACCTGCACACTTGACAGGTGCAACTCGAGGTTTGAGGTTTGATGGGGGTGGAACCCAGGAATATCGGTGGACTCAATAAAGCGATGGGTAGCATTGCTAATACTCGCAGAACAGCAAGTCTGCTGGGCGCTGCTAGTACTGGCTCTCAGCTGCTATAAGTGGACACGAGGCGCGCGACGATTCAGTCCACCGGCGGTTTGATCAATTGTCACAATTTGAGGTCACTATTTGATTTAAATCGATTTTTCTTGTGTCTCAACTGTTATTGCCTCTTGAATGTTTTGTCTTCACCCGTCCAGTGGTGTAAGGTAACATTAACATATCGTTTGCATAAAATTCCTAATAAAAACAATAGTGAAATGATATTCTAAGATGCACAATTCGACGTGCGTGTTGTGCGCGTGAGAATTCCGTCTTAATCCGCTAATCTATCCCTTTGCTTCGTGTGCAATGCAAACGCCACAGGAGGGTCCTTAGCACGAGCACAGAGGGAGGAGAAGCGAAATGCTGCCGTCGTAAATGCTACCATGACGCCACCACAGACAATTAGAAACGTAGTGTTCAACATACCACATTGTGGTGATTAGTCATTCCAAACGAAGACACATTTATAGAATTACAGAAGTAGGATGGGAGAAAAATTGTTAAACGCGCTCTCTTGCTGAAACACAATCGATAAATCGCTCCTCCACGGAGGCCACGAATGACATTAGGTGCTGACGTTACAGATTGTGCGCGCGCGCGGGCGCCGAGTCTTCGCGCTGCTGCTGCTGCCACTCATTTTACTGTTCACTAAGCCATGGCATTGCAGCGCGGCCAGGTGCGATGTGGGGGGGGGTTATATGCAATGAAGGAGTGGGCAGGAGGGGGGTGCGGATGCGGGGAAGAGGGAAAGCGTGGGATGGAGCCGGAGGACAGGGAAATGGCTGACAAGCTCAAAGCCAGCGTGCCACTCACGACTAAATGCCGAAAGTTATTTTCAAAGTCCACGACGCACGCTTAAGCTGTGACGCCGGCTTTCATCCGAGCCATTCCATGCGATGCTCGTCGTTCTTTTGCCAAGCCTATTGCCGTGCCCCGATAAAGGATCCCAGGTTTTTAGGGGGGATTGTGAAACAGACAGGCAGGCAGAGACACGTACGCACGGCTGCGAATGAAATGCCTGGAGCATGCCACATGGGCTCTTTTTTGTTCTAAAATATTTTATTTGCAGTAGATTCATCTGTTTAATTATAACATGCAGCTATATATATTTTTTTATATCAGTGCGGTGCTCACATGTGTGGCAGAGCCGTGACTCTCTGTGCCATTTCACCCACCGCTCAGCGACCCTCTAAGGCTTGTAATTCCATAACCATTAACCTCATAATCTTAACTTCTTAGGCCCTTCATTTCTGGTGTCAGCTTTCATTAAAACTCGCACTATAAGCTTTATCCATTGAGAATTGCACTTAAAGCGTTCAGATTAGCAGCCAATTCTCCATATGAATCAGAAATATGTTAGTTCTGCTAAATATTATCATGATAAATACGGCAGTGTCATACGTAACTTGATCATTTTAAATGTATAGCCCTTTGTCAATCCACTGCTGGACAAAGACTTCCCCATGCCGTATCGGTGTTTGGGGGTTGTTTGCGCATACTTCCCCGGTACTGGTTGATGCATCGGGGAGACATATCCGGGATTAGATATCACTCGCCACTGATGTTATTCTTGGCCGGGAATCTAACTGGGGTGGCGACGTTCATTGCGCCGTGGGGCCACCCACCCGGGCCCCCCTGCTTAAACCGATAGGCAACTATCGGGTTAAATTGAACAGCAACAAAGTGTCAATATTTCCCTTGATAACCGCATTGTAGCTGCCAAGCAATTGTACACATTGTAACCGTGTTGATAGATACTCTTTTGAGCAATTAATAATTCACACTCGCCCCAGGGTCGAGATTCCATTCCAGAATTCATTATTTAGTTTTGCCTCGTTTATACCGTCTAATTTGTATTTGTCGCTCTCCTTTTTGTCTCATTTTTATAGTTTTGCTCAATCAATTACCGCCTAAATACAGCAGCATATCAAAACATAATGAAAAGCAAGACTTCACGTAAATATTCAAGAGCTTTTCATCAAATCAGTCAACTGGCCCTTTTATTCCTTTATCATCCAGGAGAGTTGGTGTCAGCAAGCTCTATACCCGTTCCACTTCTACTTGGTCTCATCAGCAGCATGAGACTTGCTCAAAAAATTCCGCAGGCTTGCCACGTTATACCACAGCAAGAGCCACTCCATTTTACACAACGAGGCTCTGCTCAGTGAAAAATAGCAACATTCACCACGCTGAGCAGAGAGGGTTAGTACCTAGCACATTGCGTAAACGTCGCCACTAGGGAGACAAAGGCGCCCAGGCGTGGTGCTGGCCACCCACCCTCTCGTGTGCCACAGTGCTGGTCTTCATAGGTGCTACTCACTAAGAACAGCACTTGCTCCTACAACCTGCAAAGGCTATACGGGGGATCTTTAGCTTTGTAACTTGCAGCCCTCTTTCAAGCCACTGCTGGATAAAGGTCTCCCAAAGCAGTGTCGGTCACGGCAATTATTTGACCATACTTCACTGTACTTGGTCAGTGCGGGTTGGTGAAAGTGAATATCACTCGCCAGTGATGTTAGCCACGGACGGAAATCCAACTCAGGTCCCTGGTCTCATAACGAGTGCGCCGACGACTGCACCACCGCTGCACCTCCCCGCCCCCTCCCCTCCGGCACCCAGTAAAATATACCACTGCGCTGGCAGATAACCATCGCGAAGACTTTAAGAAGAAATGGGGGGGGGGGGGGGGAGGGAAATAAATGCCCGTGCTGAGCCGTTTGCGAAGGAGCCTTATTGAGGAGTGCTCCGTCTGCCTCTGCTGAAAATTAGTGACCACCGGCCCAACAGTGACTGAGTAGAGGAGGCATCCATTACCCCTGATAACCGCGTCCGAGCCAAGGAAGCACCGAGGAGAAGGAGCCAAAAGGTTCCTATGCTCTAACCTCTCGTGATTAAATGTCAACCGGGGGAAGTCGTGGGGGACGGGGGAGGGGGGGCGAGATTGCGGTGGCGGCTGGCCGCCGGGGTAGCAGCTCAGGCGATGATTCAAGGGACAAAAAGTTTCATTTGCAGTGTGCGGAGGACTCATTGTTCCTACCGAAAGCGGGGCTTCATTTCTCACCGCATCCTTTTGGGGTTCACGGCAGATTGGGAGGTGGCACAACCAGAGCGACAGGGATACTGGATGCGGTGTGCCGGTTGCGGTAATATTTTCCGGGCCGCAGGTAGACACGGGGATTCCCGTGACTAGCAGCCACAGCTCGAGTGGGAGGCATACTGGATGTGGTGTGCTGGGCATGACCATATATTCCAGGTCCTTGACAACAGCTGAAATTAAGCCCTGTTTGCTCGATCGTATACGAGACCGACTGCTCCCACCGACAGTAAACAAGACCCATTGTCTCGATTGACAGTAAATCACAGCACATACAAAGGTACACTCCACATGTACATTAATTCACACCCCCGCTACTCCAGTTTGAGCTATGAGCGCGCAAAGGAATGTTCCATGCTCTGAATTAGCACCGAACGCGAGCGTGCAGAAGTTCTCTCCACACTCCCTTCAATTCCCACCGGGTTACACAAAATAAACTTGGTCACAGCGCCGGTACCTCGGCACAACAACAAAAAAACCAAGGGCTGGAACCCATTGAGTAGCCACCCCCTGCTCGGAGTGGCTCCTCAGCTCACCTTGTCCGGCGAGGGCAGCGATGGCGGCCGCTTGCCCGTCGCCACGGAGAGCTGGCGCTGCAGACGTAGCACCTCCTTCTGCGAGGCCACGAGCAGCCGCTCCGTGTCGCTCTCCGGCTCCACAAGCCCCTCCTGGACACGACAGCGCAGGGAGGCATGCACACACGTGGTCAAATTAGGCACGTATGGAGCAACAGGCGAGTAACTAGAGCAGGGACTACTCGTCGGACCAAGTTTACTGATCGACGCTCAAAATTGTCATCGACGGAGTTGATTACTCGGGCCACAATAATAATGGCAGCCGCGCCCAGATCCCGCCCATCACCTGCTATCCAGTGGCGCAGGAGGGGAAACATTTGCTTTGTTTATCCTGTATGCAGTAAGTTCTGGTGTGGGTTTCGTGCAAATGTTGGTTTTGCTCTTATTAGTTTGCACATTCCCCCACTGCAATGTCCTATATCTGCTGCCACTGCCAACGGTTTTAGGCAGGCTCATGTTGACTGAACTGAAGTTGATGATTTTTTAATAAATCTGATATTCCGGCTGGAAGTTTATAAAAGCACAAAGACAATTCCATAACAATGCAAAATACAACCACGAAGTGGTAGGAAACTGACACTGTGCGAAAAATGATATCGCGACAACTGCCATACCGCGGAAGGTAACTCAAACCGTGGAATATTACATCGCGATGATCGTCATGCCGTGGAAAACCATATCAGACAGCGAACAATGATATCGCGATAATGGTCGCATCCGCACGTAACGCCATCGCGTGACGGACACCAATGGTGCGGCGCCACTATCGCGGTCGTGTGGGTGCGAACGGGACGCGCGGGGCCGTACGGGAGCAAGCAGGTGCAGCAGGTGTCGCAGGCGGTACACCTCCCTCTGCAGGGCGTCCACCTGCTTGTCCTTGGAGAGCAGCGCCGCCGCCTGGCTGCCCAGGTCCCGCGCTCGCTGCCGTGCGAACGCCTTGCGGTACTGCTCCACCGCCTGCAGCTTGAGTGGCGCCGGCGTCGTGGCCTGTTGCACGGAGAGCACCGAACGCCACGTTGCTGCGACTCCGTGAATGCCGCATGGCCGACACGAATGGTGTCGGGGGGGCGGGGCCCGCCACGGCTCGTTACTTGAGGCTCTGTGGACTCAACCTCTTCATGCCCTCCTACCCCCTGACCCCCCCAACACTGCCTCCATTAGCCCACTCACCCTTCTCCTCCCCTTTCCTTTGCAGATCGAGGGAGGTGACTGCAACATTTTATTAAAGTTAGTTTTAACAATACTTGATTTGGAGCTTTCGTGACTGCAGGAATTACTCTTTGGTTCTTTCGGTAAAGTCACGTAGTTAGTTTTAACAAGTTTTCAAGTTTTCTTGGGTTAGGTTATGCCCAGCAAATACCTACTTAGTCATATATTTTCATCACGTAAATATATATCTTTTTTTTTACAAAAAACCCAACACTGAATTTCAGTGGAGTGAGAGCCCCCACTGAGTCCGTGTTTCCGTCTCGCGTTGATGGGCCCTCTCGAGCAGCAAGCCGTGTGTCCGAGTCACAAATCCGGGCCGAGCTCCCACTGCTGTTGTGGAGTGACTCACGCAGCCAGCTATGGCTGCAGAGTTTGGTGGTACATGTTGTTTACGTCGTTAATTGTGAAAATTCGGCCACAGTTCCTATGATCACTGTTTCATTGCTTTTATGGCTTTATTTTGGTGATTTTCGAAAAGTTTTTTGGTTTGGCCATGTTTGTTTGTTGTAGTACAGAGTTAGACTGATGGTCTTAATCTAAGTTGTCTTGTGGTTGTTGTTGTTGTTTGACTTGCATCCCACTGGGATTTTTGCACACAGTGTTGGTGTACAGTGCTTTTTCTGCAATATTTTGCTGTCTTTTCTTGGATTTTCTGCTTGCACATAGTCACTTTAAGATGTTTTCTTGTTCATGTTTTTGTTTTCTGTTTGTTGCGGTTGCACCCGATTCAAGAGCTGAATGGCTCACAGGGCTATACCAAATAAAATGAACTTAAATTTGCCCGGTTCACAAATCAGGCCGCATTGCTCCGTGGTGGCCGTGGAAACATGGAAACGTAGCATCAGTGTCATAACACAAGCGGGCACTCACTCTATTGTGCCTCTGTCAGAGAGGCTAGCAAAAAGGTGTTAAGAAATGATCATGAATTTTGAACTCTCGGATTTCGATTTAATTTCACCGAGTCTGAATATGGAAAAATCCAGAAAAGTATGTACGTATGCTGCATCATTTTAATTTTAAATGATTTTAATATGTATTATATTTTATTTAATATGTATTCTTAATGGCAATTAATGAGAGTTGGGGGGGGGCATACGCAGCCGAGAGGCACAGCGGTAGCACATTCAGCGCAGTGGGAAGCCCTTCATCCCTCTGAGGATAAAAAAAACTAAGTACCACTTCGTGGTGAAGTAAAACTACTGAAACTAAACTATTTATTCTATTTTACCAGGTATGGCCTCCCACTGAGCTACACAGCTCAATGTTAGGAGCGACCTGGCCAGAAATGATAGCTCAGCGAAGCGGTTTATCACGTGAAAATTTATAGCAGCCAAATACTCTCAGCACATATTGATTCTAAATGTGGAGGGAAACACCGGAGGACTCTGGGAAAAACCCACGCGACCACGGGAAGAACACGCAAACTTCAAATATACAGCAGGCGTCAGGGTCGGGATCGAACCCACAACTTCATGGACACCAGGCGAAGTAGTTGACGTCTCACAACCGTTGCACCCACAGTGGATGTGCTAGAGAAAGAACCACCGCTGCCACAACAGTGTGGAGTTGACGCCGCTGGCTCAAGGCTCTGAAGTTAAGCAACACCCTTTGGCACAACTGTGCTGGAAAAAAACACGGATTTGGTTCGTATAATAGCGGACCTCAAAGGTCAGAGCTGTCGAATTTACGGCGGCGGGAGAGTACTCTCAAGTTAAATTGTTCACTCGCATTCAGTTTTCGAACATGAAGCCCTCCGCATACCGTGTGTGTTGGGGGGATTATTTGACCACACTTCACCATTTCCAATCAGTGTGTTGTGGGCGAGGAGCGTGAACGTGGTATACACGAGGTCGTGAGTTCAATCCCGACCGTGACTCATGTAAATCTGTAGTTTGCACGTTCTTCCAGCGGTGGCATGGATTTTTCTCCGGGTCCTCCGGGTTTTCCCTCCACATATAGAAACATGCATTTAGAGTATTTGGGTGCGATGCATTTCCACGTGATAACCCACTTCATTGAGCTCTCATTAGTGGCCAGATCGCTTCAAGAAAAAGAGCTACGTAGCTCTGTGGGCCTTACCTGGTAAAATACAAAGTTTCGATTTAGTTTAGCGTGGACGTGGATGTTGCTGTGCTGCCCTCTGCTGCCCACGATGTAGCCTCCCTCCGCGACAGCCCGTGACAATCTGTTTTGTGCACGGCGATGCGCAGGGTGTTCACCCATCCCAAGCGCTTATCCAGGCTCAACCCTGCTTAGGGTCCGATGATATCAGGTGGATTCCCATTCGTTTCGTCATAGACGCAAATCACTCTTTAGCCGACGAATCAAGTGCTCCGTGCAATACCAGGTACACGCACACGCGGACACGCATTACATCTCCGTTAGGGATTCATTTAGCCCACTCTGTATGCACGGGCGAAATTAATGCAAATACAAGTAGATGTTTGGTTACACTTTGTGCAAGCGAGCAGGTACTTCCCGGTTTATGCACGATTAACTATTCATCGAAATTATTAACCTGGCTCGCATGTTAATTTTCAGACATCATCGGATGGCCCAGCATTCCCAGTAAATTCGATACACTCCCGCAAGGCGCCCATGCCGTTCTGGGACGATCACCGAACAACTCCACCGTCCATCCCCGCTGGTAGAGAATGGACGGCGTCTTGAGACGCAGTCGCACTTCAAGGGATTTTATAACCCAAATCGCACAGCGTTCTACTTTACGGCGCCACTTTAAAAAAGAAATCCCGACATTCACTTCTAGCAGAAACTTAACCCGATTTATCCTGTTGAACAAAGTTTCCGCATTCGCGAATTGTGCATTGGCGAGCGTTTTAACGAACGCAACCCTCGCAAATGGAGAGGGTTTTACTGTATTATTTTTGGTCTCGCTTGACCTCCCCACACGTTTGCCGAATTCACCGATCGCGTGAAAGAAACGCACCTCCGATTAGCACGGCTGGCTACGTACGGTGCGAAAGAAGTTCAACATACATACATACATACGCCAGGGGGATGGATGTTGACAAACTCCAGGACAGGGTGCATCTCTCACCACCCTCATGTTGGCCTCCTGCAGTTTCTTGGCCCTCTCCTCGAGCCGCTTGGCAATGGCCACCAGCTCCGCGTTCTTCCTCTTGAGCCGCCGGACCTTGTCCTCGGTGTCCACGCTGCTGCTCTTGCGCTGCCCGCACAAAACCACGGACCACAGGGCGCAACGCGCTCGCTCACTCGCTCGCTCGCTCGAGGATCCGCGCCGCCGAACTGCCCGCGGACGCGCGTACGCGGGCGGGCAGCCGTCCGCAGATGCAGGCGCACCCGGGCGTGTGCCATCGCGCAGCCGCGCTTTATAAATAGACGAAAGTCGCATACGGACGCACACTCGCACATGTCGACCCGAAAATAACCACGCTCAGCCGATACACGCGCACGCACTGCTCGGGCCTTGGAGCACAGCTGCTGCTGCTCCTGCTGCTGCTCCTACTGTTGCTGCTACAAGACAAAGATCCCCCGTATAGTTCAAATAGACTTTTGGGACAAGTGTTGTAAGCGAACACCTACGAAGGCCGGCAAAGCACACGAGGAGGTGGGTGGCCAACACCACGCCCGTTCACCTTTGTCTCCCTCGTGGCGATGTTTACACATCGTACCAGGTACTCATTTGAGGCTGAGTCGACCTAGTGGAGGCTCAGGAGTGGTACAGATAATCATCACTGGTGTTGGCCATGAGCACGAATGGAACTCGGGTCACCAGCATTGTAGCACACACACACGAGCACACACACATGCGCACCCCTGCTCTTGCGTGGCTCGCGAGGACAGCTGCAGGCATGTAAGCCATGTGCGCGCGTTTTGAAATATGCAACTGTAAACATTCTCAATTCAAAACGGGAAAGTAACGCACAAGTATAGTAAATGTGCTGCCACAAGACGCCGTTCTAATGCGTGCACGAGCAAGTTAGTGTTTGGCTTTCCATGATAAAGGGTAGCCTGATGGCATTAGACAGTTTAATATCAGTCGACATTTTCAGTTCGCGTACAATTCGTCATTTTCTGCTGGGAAAATTGAAAATATTTCCACGGACAAAGGAAAATGTATTGAAAAGGCCCGTTGGATGAAATGTTGCTCGCTACACACAAGCACTCAACAGGATTCATCTGTTGCCTTTGTGAGATGTTTTCTCTTCCCTTGATAACTCGAATCTTGCTGCATGCAAAGCACCGCAAGGAATGGCGGATGGCTTGGGGAGGTCTTAATCCAGCAGTGGATCGATCATGGCTGCTGATGGTAACACTGGATTCACACTTTTTCAATCCCACAGTCAATTTGATGATTGGTCACAATGATGGGGTCCTTACTCAATAAACAAAACAAAAATTGGTCTCATTTGACCTTCCCATTTGTATTATTTTCTCATTTATTCCGTCACACTTTTCCTATCACGTTCACTTAATTCCCATAAATGTGACATTTTCATCTTTTCATCGCACACAATTTGCATACATTAAAATGAATATTTTCTCACACGCAGGATTCTATGCGTGCATCGTGAGCGTTAGGAATCGATGTCAATCGTTGCGTCGCCATAAGCCTCATGACCGGCACATCTCCTGCCGTCTTGGCACAAAGCACATGGCTGCAAAGATAAACAATTCATCGTCACACCTGTCACTGCACGGATGGACGCCGTTTCATTCGAGTAAATATGTGCAGGTGTAGATCGCTGAGAGTTCTAGTCCCTCCCCCCCAGCACCCAAGACATTTGGTTTGACGATTTCACTGGGCCAGGAAAAAGGGGCGGCCACGGGGGAAATCAAACCTCCAACCCACGTGGGAGGCGTACGGGGATGTCCTTTGGAAGACGGCCGCCATAATCAGTGAAGTCTACACAAAACTGGACCACGTGGTCGCGCATGGAGCCTCATGCCGCGGTGCCATGACCAAGCAATAATGGTGAGCCCGCCCGGGTCTTGAAACTGGGCGAGTCGGCTCAGCGCCGACTGCCCGGCTCGACTCGCGCGGTGCTGCCCGCCGTGCTCGCTTTCACTCGCGTGGCGGTGGGCCAGGAAACCCGAGCTGCCCTGGGGAGTTGACCCCGAGAGGTCGTGGGATCAGCTCAGAAGAGCGACACACGTTTCCCGACGTCCCCCCGCTTGAGTCAACTTCAGAGCCGGGTTTTTGTTTTTAAAACGAGAGGACAATAAGTAAACAAAGAAATAGCTTGGGGCAGGGTAGGCTAGCCTAGGCACATTAGACCGTGATGGAAGGGATTGGGGTGGGTATGAGTACGGAGGTGGGTATGGGTACGGAGGTGGGTATGGGCACGGAGGTGGGTATGGGTACGGGGGTGAGTATGGGCACGGAGGTGGGTATGGGTACGGAGGTGGGTATGGGCACGGAGGTGGGTATGGGTACAGGAGTGGGTATGGGTACGGAGGTGGGGAGGAAGACAGTGAGAGGAGCCAAGCTCGCAGAGCTACGCGGCTCTTGAAGCGACGAGACGGAGAAAGGAGCCATGCCAGCCTGTTGCAGAAACGTAGCAACGTTCCGAGACAAATGAACTCGGGCAGAGGTGGCAGGAGACCCTCATTAAGCGCCGTCTGCTGGGAACACCAAAAACACTCAGACCACCACTCCTGGTTGTATCTGCCAACATCCACACATTAACCCAAAGGAATCCTTTGTTTGTTTGTGGTAGCACGAGGGATTGAAGCCCTCCACACGTGCAGGGTGTAGCCAAGGGAGAGATCTCCTGGCACGTGTCCCTGCTGCTGCAGTCTTAAGCCCCCCTTGGACCCACTCAGAGAGGCAAAAATTAGAATTGGTAAACAGTCTCTCCCAAGTGAGGCTTTGTTGGGATAAGGGTGTGCCACTTTCGTGTGAAACCCAAACACTGCATCGGATACACGGAGGCGATGACATGAACATGTGACCTGGTGGTCAGACTCTAAATCCTGATTGTGTCCTTAATTTTTTGGGACGTTACGCTCCTGTATATCATTCATTGCGCTGAATCGTCAGAAATGAGGATCACAATTTAATTCAAGAATCAATTGTTTTTTAAACTGTTGTGACTGCAGTGACCTCTAGTGGTTGGTTGGGGTCATGTGAATCCATGACATTCAACGTATATTCATTATCATTAGCCATGTTCAATTCACTGCTGGATGAAGGCCTCCCACAGACGTCACCATCTCTCACAGTCCTGCAACATAACGACAACACCAACAATACATATGCAAAGCTAAACACGTCGATTGCTACACAAGTGATTCAAGGCACGTATCGTGAATGTTGGAACCCAGCGAACACCAAGAACATTTCCACTGGTGTTACATTCCAAGATACAGTACACTTATCTCTACACAACAAAGCGTACAACTCCAAACATTATTTATCATCACCCCTGTCACTATGCGACTGCACAGACGGGCGGCATTTCATTCGCATGAACCAACGCGCGTGGAGACGCAGGCACGGAGCGATGCAAACTCCTCCGCATTTATTCGGAGTATTTCCACTGTGGGTGGGTGCGTGGGTAACGCCGTTTCAGGAACCAAACTCCATTCTGCACGACCCAGACGTGCCTACGTCGCTCAGCTGCCACGAGACGTCATCCCATGAGCGCTGACCTCCAGAAGTGGAAAAGCGTAACCAGGGAAGAGCTGATGGCACCTCGATTTGTTTTCGGGTCGCACCGCGTGTTGTTCGGCACAAAGTCCGACGTTTCACTCCACGTGCTGGGACCTTCTTCAGTTTCTGAACTCGGCTCCTGATGCAGCTCCCAGCACGCGGAGCAAAGCGCCCGACTTTGTGCCGATCAACACGCGGTACGACAAGAAAACACGTGGGAAAGCCATAGAGTGTTGCAGCGAAAGCAACGCAGTAGTACGGAAGAGCAGACTTATTGATGATCAAACATGGGGGATTGTTTGACCATACTTCACCACGCTGGTCAATGAGGGTTGAAGAAGGGGGAGGCCCAGGTCCACGTCATATAGCACTCATCACTGATATTAGTCGTGGCTGGGAATTTAACTGAAGGTAAAAGGGTTAAGGTGGCAGGGTTAAGGCTGCAGGGTTAAGGCTGCAGGGTTAAGTCGGCAGGCTGTGTTAACCACTGCGTCACCGCTCTTGAAAACTAAAAAAGGCAGTCAAAAAATGCAAAACTCGTGATAGAACATCGATCGCTCATTCCGTTTCAATAAAACTTTTCTTTGATAATGGGCAACTGTTCATCCAGAAACATTCTTCACATGCTACTTCTATCAATGTCCCCAAGGTGTAAAGTAATGCATTATTCACTCGATCTCCGTGGCTTCTCTATCTCTCTGCTATGACAAATGGACCATTGCCCGAAAGGCCGCCTTTATACACATATATATGTTATTGACAAATGTGTTCAGTTTTTTTTTGTCATTTGTCTTTTGCACCACCGCCAATGCAGCGTGGCACCAACAAAAAAAAGCCCCACTACCTTAAAAAGGAGGGCTCGGTCGACAGACAACACATCCATTAGTACGTGAACAGCACCATCTGCTGGCAGTTATTCAAACTTCTCTCGTCGATTGCTGAGATTCTTTACAGCAGGGGTCTCCAACCCCCCGGTCCGAGGACCGGTAACGGTCCGTGGCCTGTTAGGAACCGGGCCGCACGGCAGCAGGAGGTGAGAGCGGTGAGTCCGCGCGTGGCCCGCCCCCATTATTTTATTGACCACTTCCATCCACGCCTCTTTCCCGCACTGCGCACTCGTCTCAGCCACAGTGTTGGTAAGCCCACAAGCTGCTAACCCCTAGCCAAAATTAGTAAAAAAAACAAACGTCGCTGGAGAGCTTCTTTGAAAAGGGCAACAACTAGAAGCTATTTGTAATTACTGGCAAAACGTCGTACTTAGATTGTAAATGTTGTGGCTTGGCTCTCCAACACACCGGTGTGCTGTAACAGTATACTACACTATACACTACTATACACTACACACTAGTGCTGTACTAGTGACGAATTGCCATGTTATGTTTAAGTGACAACCCTTACCCGTTGGCTGTGTCGGGTGGTGGCGGGTTTAACGGCACATTTTTCTATTTACGCAATCTAACCCAAAAAAAAAACCTCTATTATCAATGTTTACTTGCTATGCACAAAATCTCGTTCAGCCAGCTACCCAGCTAGTTTCGGTGGCAATGGTGCGCAGCCACGAACGACGACGGAGCTATTGTTCGGGTGGAGAGGAGCCCAGCCAGCAGCCAGTCAGGAAACTCGAGGCATCGGTTATTTTTAATGGTAGCATGACATCCAATAAGTGAGAAGCAGTCCCACCCCCCCCCCCCCCCCCCCTTGCGTTATACCGGCAACTAAGGGCCATGTACGCTGGCTGTTATCTGGCGGTCACTTTTAGACTTCAAGCAGTAGACAACGTCCGCGCGTGAGCCTACTAACACCTGCACGCTCTCCGCAGCGGTGATTTGCACACGTAGCAACTCTACCCTTGTTCGATCCGAGAGTTGGCCGCGAGATGGATTCTCCTACACCACGGGGCTCTCTGTCTTTTGTTAATTCCTGCGAGGAATTGTCCCGCACTGATCACCTGTCCAAGCAACATCGTCGTCAATCCGAGTTGCGTGTAAGCATGTATGTTGAACTGCTTTTGCACCGCACGTAGCTAACCGTGCTAATCAGGGGTGCGGGTTCTTCAGGGGTAGGCTTTGACCCACAGCATAGGAGCTGCGTTTTAGTGCGAGAGGGACTGCATCACTCGCGAGCTTTTGGGACCTGTGGAAGTTCGAGGAGCAGCACCGTGTGGAATGGTGCGGGCGGCACACTTTGCCCCGGGCTAAGCTTCTGTAAACAAAACTTGTTAATTCTAGATTTGAAGCTACAGTTATTTTGCTGTGCCTTTTTACACCTGATGAAGGAAGCTCGTGTTGCCTCCGAAACGTCGTGATTTATTATTTTATTTCTATTATTATTTCTATTATTTACTTTTATTATTCATTTATTTTTACCTACGTGACTTTACCGAAAAAACCTAAGAGTATGAAAACTTGTTAAGCTCTGTCAGGGTGGATTGTGGGTAATAATTGAGTAAATAAGCAGATGAGCAGCTGTTTAACCTTGTGGTCTTGTTTACGGGGTCTGCAGGACACAGTCTAGATCATCTCGGCTTTGGAGGTGAGCGATTTATTGAGGCTATTGTATGAGCAGTCTACATTTGGAACGTTTAGCCTTTAAGAGTTCGATTCTCAGTCAGTCCCCGTGGTTAGCACCACTGGAAAACGGTCATCCAGAAGGCCCACAGGCTGGTGCACTGAAATGTTACTTTATATCCATGAGGAGTGATCAGACTCTTGTCTATTGATTAGTTGGAGTTTCTGAATTGCAACGTTTTTTGTCCAACTCTCCGGAATGGCAGCCCAAGGAGGGAACACCCAAGAGGATGACCACCGTGGAGATGGAGCAATGGGATCGGCTCGCTCACAGGAGCGAGGTGCAGCGTGGCATCACAGGATGGCGACGACTTGCAGATGCCTTCATCTCGCTGTGGATTGATAATCTACGACGACTGAAGATAATACTTAAACGGGAATCTCCCTCCCAGTTTCAATTAGCAGAGGATGGCATTCAGCATTTGTATCACTGTTAGGCTGACATCAAACATGAGGAACATAATAATTCGTGAATTTATCTGGTTCTTTCGGTAAAGTCACGTAGAAAGGAAATAATAAAATAATAAACATAAAACATAACAAAATACAATTCTCACGACGTTTCGGCCACAACGCAAGAAGCCTACATAATACACGAGCATAATATGAATTTGAGACCCCTCCCTTCACCTACACATTCCACAAGTAGTGACTAATTCCATAGCTGCATTTTCCATAAATATGCTAAATTCCTGTTGATATGCAAATTCCTTTGTCAAGGCTCCCTCCTCCTCTAACCCAGCTTAAATATACGCTGCCAAGCTTGGTAGTGTTCATTCAGACACTGTCTTTCCGACAGCCCTGTTCTTCACCTGAGGACAGCTGCTTGTGTTGTGGCCAAAACGTCGTGAGAATTGTATTTTATAATGTTTTATTTTTATTATTTTATTATTTCCCTTCTACGTGACTTTACTGAAAGAACCAAGAAGATGAATCCCTGCAGTCACGAAAGCTTTAAATCGAAATTCGTTAATTTATTTATTTTAATCATTTTTTAGGCTCACAATACCCCAACTGAATCAGGCGCGCAAGGCTCGATTATTTACAACTCAAATACGCTAACGATTTGACAAATGCTGTGTTTTCATACCACTAGGTATTGCATGCAAATTTAATTGTAACCTGGAATTGTTATAGGTCATCAAATTGTACCAAAGTACACTCCAGCTGATCCACAAGGTAGATAGATTTCATTTCATTTAGTTACCAATGGCCATAATTGATCACTTACAACCTTTCCTCAATCCACGACTATTTGAAGGCCTCCTCACACCATGTAAGTAACGGGGGTGTGCGACCATACGTCACCACGCTGATCAGTGCGGATTCATGAGGGAGGGCGGGCCCAGGACCAGTTCAGGCACCACCCTCCACTAACGTGGCCGGGAATCGAGCGGAGCGCTAACCGCAGTGCTGCAAACCCTACCCTCGCAGGCAGTCACCGCCATCATCGGCCATGGCCAATCCACTGCTGGATGAAGGCATCCCCAAGCCGTCGTCCTCTCTCACGATCCTGCAATGTAATAGTCCACGGGGCACCCACACACGGGCGGAATCCATCGCTCTGCCTCCTCAGGAGACGCCCTCTCGGACGAGTCCCTTTCCTTGGCTGCCACTCCGTCAATATTCCTGACCGTTTTAAAGCTTTAGTGACTGCAGGAATTCATCTTCTCCGAGTCGTCTCGACAGACCTGTTCTTCACCTGAGGACGGCTGCTTGCGTTGTGGCCGAAACGTCGTGAGAATTATTTTATTATGTTTTATTATTTTATTATTTCCATTCTACGTGACTTTACCGAAAGAACCAAGAAAATTCCTGACTGTCTTTGGCACACTCGCCCTCACCACAGCGACACGAAAGTTCCACGTTGCTTTGCCGGGGAAGGTTTGGGTGGGTGGGTGGGTGGGTGGGGGGGGGTCGTGGCGCTCACCAGCAAGGCGTTCTCCTCGCGGAGGGCGCTGCAGGTCTGCTCCAGCTCGTGCAGCTGCCCCCGCAGGCCCTCGTTCTGCCTCGCCAGGGATTCCACATCCCACGCCGCGCCTCCGTTCTGCACGGCGCAAACACCGCGCACGGGCACGCACGCACGCACACTTCACATCACGTATTCATGGATGTGCGTTGAATTTCTTTCCGCACCGTACGGAGCCAACCGCGGTAATCGTAGGTGCGGGGGAAGGACAAGAAAGGAACTCGCGCGAAAGAATATACATTAAGAAATAAGTTTAACGATGAAATGTCAATCTTGATTTGAAGCTTTCGTGACTGCAGGAATCCATACTCTTTGGTTCTTTCGGTAAAGTCACGTGGGTAGAGAATAAAATAAATCGCGACGTTTCGATCGCAACACAAGCGGTCGTCCTCAGGCGGAAAAAATATAATCCAGCAGTTCGACTTTTTGAGCGAGTTGCAAAAGATTATGGCAATACATCTTCTTGATTCTTTCGGTAAAGTCACGTAGAAGGAAAATAATAAAATAATAAAAATAAAACATAATAAAATAATTCTCACGACGTGTCGGCCACAACGCAAGCAGCCGTCTTCAGGCCGAAACGTCGTGAGAATTATTGAATTATGTTTTATTTTTATTATTTTATTATTTTCCTTCTACGTGACTTTACCGAAAGAACCAAGAAGATGAATCCCTGCAGTCACGAAAGCTTTAAATCGAAATTATGGGAATACGTTAATATGTAGATATACATAAAAAAAAACTTTCCGTCTCAAACGTATAGGGAGTAACATCTCCCCCCCGGCTGACCCCCCCCCCCTTCGTCTCCCCAATGCGATGCCCCAACAACTTTCAGTTGCCTTCCAGCTACGACCAGGCCAACCACGAGCCCTCCTCCTTAACACTCACGCCCGTTCTGTCGCCACCAAAATCACTACCACCACTTTTAGAAACACCATTCTTCATCTCCAACCGCGATCACCTTACGTGCAATTTTACAACTGCTGTAAAGGCGCCTTGAAAAAGTGCTATGTCAATTTGGATAACATTAGAAAAAAACAAGATAAGGTCTAGTTCTGACGCTGTCGTGGCTGTATAAGTCAGCGCACTGGGCATGCAATCCAGACGTTGGATTTCAGCTCCTGGCGCGGCAGTTGAAACGGAGCAACTTTCTTAAATCTCCACCCACCGCCCCCCTTCACCGCCTCTGTCCACCCAGAGGTGTTCACGAGTTCACCACAGTCAGTCGATCGGCAAGTCGCGCGTGGCAGGATGAAGTGTGGGTAGTCACGAGACATGTGGCCAGCGTGGAAGAGTAGGCCAAATACCCCCAAGGAAGGGCTCTATAAAGTTCCCTCTAGTGTGGAGGGCCTGAAAATGTCTCGCTTTGAGCATGAGCGAGAAATTGCATGGCTGCACCTTAATCTTAGCGAGCCTTCAAAGGGATTACTCCGTACATATCAGCCGTATTTTGATTTCTGATGACCAAGTAAATGTTGGCACGCTAGAGGGCAGATGGGCCGATGTGGTGCGGGAGAATTTGGAGCCAAGTGAACTTGCCGACTTACTGCTACCAGCGGCGTCAAAGGTCGGTCTCTGTGGAGGAAGCTCGTCAAGGAAGCGAATGCAGTCGGAGGCAGTCGCCCTCCAGCAAACGAGCGGAGCAAAAGTTGGCACCGTGGAGACCACAGGTGGTGCATCTGACAAGTCATCTGAGGCAGTTAACCCCACACCACCTGGTGACACCCCGTGACACACTCTGCCGTGAGCCACAAAACGCACCTGGCCTGGCACAAGTGGCGTGGTGACGTTATCGCCACTTCGTGGAAAATGACGGCTGTTGTCTCGTGAGGTCGAGGGCCCTGAATCAAATGCAAGGGTTGTCCTCTGCATCAAGCAGGATGTGATTGGCAATTATGAGGCATGTCCACTGTGTTTTTATCCGTGAACAATTTGAAGTCACAGTGCTCATCTCCCGTTTACAGCCCTGAGCCGGTGGTGAAAATTACACATTCATATGACGGGAATTATTCTCTTCATAGGACAACAACTGTACATATGAATGTTGAACTTTTTCGCACCGTACGTAGCCAAACGTGCTAATCGGAGGTGCGGGGAAGGTCAGTAAACGAAACACAAAAAGCAGTTCTAAAGATACGAGTTTCAACTGCTAACTCCACCACAATGATACTCATTTTTTTGACCCCATACGGACGATGTGTCAATCCCCGAACAGGATTTGTCACAGAGGAAATGCTTGTGACGTAATTTATATGAATGAAATGCAGATCATCGTCAGCCATGATCAATCCACTGCTGGATGAAGGCCTCCCCAAGCCCGTCAGTCACCGCTTCTCACGATCCTGCGTATTTACTTGTATTCATTCCGGGAGAGCAAACTTGGCTCCAAAAAAAAACAAGGATTTGTCGGTTTCCCATTACAGGTGAGCTCGATTACAATTAACACCCGAGCCACTGGCGCCCAGCCAGAGCTCGATAAGCGTCTCCCCCAAGCGAACGGCGGTGCTGGGCGCGGTGTGACACGAGACGCACGTCACACCGCCAGACCGCCGGTTTTATCGCTCAATGTCAGCGAGCCTCCAGCGCACAATCGCGGCGCGCGTGCTGCCGTCACACTGAGCCTCACCGGAGGAGCTGTCATTTTAATTCACACGGCCACTGATTAGCAGCGCTTTCCCCGATTCAGCTCTCACGCCAGACTTCAGGGTGGTGGAGATCCCAAAATTGATCCTTTCTGAGAAATCAATGAAGCCCGTCGCCGACAGACTTAAGGTGCTTATCAACACCGTGTTTAATTGTACGATTGCAATCCACGATTGTGTTTAGGTAATTATTATATAATTATAACGGCATGTTCCTGTCACCCCCTGAGCGAGCCAGATTTGTTTTTCAACCCTGAGGCTTGCGAGGCTGAGGCTTGAGCAGCAGTTGCCGTAGAAACAGGCGGATTGGAAAGACAGCATACGCAAGTGAACGGCATCGTTTGAAATGTTAAGAAAAGTAGCTGGGCCTGGGCAGGCCACGCCGCTCGAAGGAATGACGGCCGATGGATGGGACTGTTGACAGAATCGCAAGCGAAGGAACGCACGACTGACAGAATTACCACCGTGGAGATGGAGTGATGAGATCAGGAGTGAGATGGATTGATGTATCGTAGGACCGTCGGAAATCATGACAGCGTTGGGAGACCTTCATCCAGCTGAGGACAGAGCTAAACCGATGCCGAGGACGACGGTGATGAAGAGACTGATGATGATGATGATGATACCAGCCTTACTCGCAGGAAGCCAGGCTGAATGAGGATAGGACTGCCATGCTTCCCGGCAGCGCCGTCCACACTCCACCGAACATCCACCGTGCTGAACGTCGCGCTGAAGCTGTGAAGCTTCTGGTTCTGTAACATCGCGGCGGGGCCCGGCACTTCGCACGGCGGCCGCCACACGGTTCTCCGCACGGCCAAATGAAACGCAACGCAGCCGACAGCTTCAGCTGCCGCCAAACTTTTGATTGCGGTGGCAGAAACCAGCGCGCGTTCTACAGATCCGCGCGTTCTCCAGATCCGCGCGTCCTCTCAGCTTTGTCCGCTCGTAAACGAGCACCAAGGTGCCGCTGTTGATGCCAAACAAACACGCACGCTGCCCCCACCCACCGTCTCCCTTCGCCACCCCCCACCTCCTACCGAGCTCAGGCACACTGCCCGCTTAACGCTCCCCTCCTACTATGTAAGCACGCTCACCCTCCTACTATGTAAGCACGCTCACCCTCCTACTATGTAAGCACACTCACCCACCCACCCACCGCGCTCACCCACCCACCCACCGCGCTCACCCACCCACCCACCGCGCTCACCCACCAACCCACCGCGCGCACACACCCACCCACCGCGCCCACCCACCACGCGCACCCACCCACCCACCACGCGCACCCACCCACCCACCACGCTCACCCACCCACCCACCCACCACGCTCACCCACCCACCCAGCACGCTCACCCACCCACCCACCACGCGCACACACTCAAGCAGACAGGGAGGGGAAGTTACCGCTGTGACCGGGCTTCCAGTCAAAAGCACCTCGGGCTCAACCCCTACAATCCATCAATATCATCGCCACAACCACCATCATCCACCGCCACACTGACTCTCAGTCCTTTGGTCAACGATGCACACACTCGTCTCATCACGAGCAGCATCAGCCGTAAGATATGAAATGCCAGCGGTGACAGAAGGGCACAGCGGCACTACGCGTGCCACCGTACGGGGCGACAAATCGAATCGGGGAGCACCGCACGGCACCAATGCAGAGCTCGATCCTATTCCGAACGGCGCCGAGCAACGAGTCTCAGCCCCACGCCACTTTGTGCCCAGGCGGCACAAAGAGTGCGGAATGCCAGAGCGTGTTGGAGCACGCCCAGCAGTGCATCAAGACCACCACTGTTTGCTCCGTCTCCACGGGAAACGCCCCGGGTCGTTGTTTTGACTCTGGGCATTGGGCATTTCGTGTTTTGTAGAGGGGATCAGGTCGGATTTCTGAGTGGGCGCGCGTGCGGTGGACGTTTGCGTGAAAGTGTTAAAAAGGGGCTGACAACAAAAACAGGTGCGATTAGTAAGGCAACACCACCACTGTTGGCATTCTTAGAGTAATGGACTCGCTCAGAGGCCGGCAAAAGTGCCATGCCAGGTGGACTGTTTTTTCATCAGAAAAAAAAGACCAAACTTACTTTGCAGATATTGGGTGGATAATGTCGATAACGTGCAACCCACTTCGCTGGAATATTTTTCAATGAGTTGCACCGATTGTATGTATTCCAAACGTCATTAAAGTTTGCAGTAGAAAGATGGCCGTACGATTATGAAGGGAATACAAACTTCAGCACGTGCTAAGCTTGGAGTGAACGCAGAGACGCAAATTCTTCGTTTCCATGACCACTGGGAACTGGACTCTGCTGGCCCAGGAATGGTCCAATTCCTGCACAGGAACAGCACTCGGGCAGTGGTCCGAATCAGAGGTAGACCTAGAATCGAGACATAGAAACTTCCCGGAGGGGAGAGGTGTGGTTCCAGAATTTCAAGCTTTTTAATCAAGGCCATACGTTCATCTATTTTAAACGATTAAACTATTTTTTTTATTTTTTTCACAAGGTAACGCCCACTGATCTGTACAGCTCTTTTTCAGAAGCGACCTGGCCACAAATGATAGTTCATCGAAGTGGCTTATCATGTAGAAAGTTAAAGCAGCCAAATACTCTAAACGCATGTTTCTAAATGTGGAGGGATAAACCGGAGGACCCGGAGAAAAATCCATTCGACCACGAGGAGAGGCATGCAAACTCCAAATATACAGCAGCAGGCGTCAGTGTCGGTATCGAACCGATGACCTCCTGCATACCAGGCGAGATAGGTAATATCTCGCCACCGTGACGATTTATTTTCTCTGGTGAATGTTTATAAAATTCTTATTTTATATTTTCTGCAAGAGGAAGGGGGGGGGGGGTCAGAATGAAATCGCTCCAATCGCCCCCCACCCCCCACTCAGATTCACCACTGGTCCAGACAGCACTAGGGCATTGTGAACGATCGGCGAACAGTGAAGAGAGTTGGGAGGTGGCGTAGGGACCTGGAAAAGTCTAGAATAGCTGCTGAAAAGCTGCTCACCCCGAGCTATAAATCATCTGATACGTGTGGCATTGTCTTTGTACTGTTCGCCTTGTGGAGTTCCCTCCTCTGACACTGGTGACACAAGGCGACAAAGATGTCTGTCTCTGGTGTGGGCCAATCAGTTTCAAAGACAATGGATATATTAATTATTATCAGAGCATGTTTTGTTTGCATGTTCACCACAAGTACCTTTTTTATTGCCAGAAAGGATAAAAGCTATTGTTCTTTTTCATACTTGATTTTAAGCTTTCGTGACTGCAGGAATCCATACTCTTTGGTTGTTTCGGTAAAGTCATATAGGTATAAAATAAAATAAATCACGACTGTCAGGCGCAACACACGCTCATACTGGCAAAAAGGTCCCGTGATGTAGCTGGAGACAGTCAAGCTGCAGGTGGACCGAGGACGCTTGGGGCTGCGCGAAATGGTGAAGTGTAATTTGGAGGGACGGAGGAGCGCGGCGGAGCGTAAGACGAGCATCAGAAACCTGCGAGAGTCTTCAAAAGGCCAAGAGCGGCCAGGCGCGGTACCAGTCCCTCTCCACTTGGCGTGCGCTGCCACGGAACGATTGCTTGCTCGGAGAAAATGCCTCCAACCGTGCTCCTGTGCGTTCGAGCGAAGCCACTTTAGGATCGTCGCTATGTGCTGGAGGTGGCCGGGTGGCTTAGGGGTCAAAGCGTTGCAGCCTGTGATTAAACCGAGATATTCAAGTACGGCGAGAGTTGATGGTCACAGATATCTGTAAAAAAAAAGTTTAATAAAATGTGTTTTTACACTTCATTCAGCTAAATTCGAATTAAATATATTGGATTGTCCACCAAGCAATGAATATTACTGTCAGTAGCAGGGCGAGTGGAAAAGTGCTGCCCCCTAGTGTGTGAACGAGATGTCACTTGAAAGAATCTCAGAAGTGAGTGGTTCAGATTTCCGATTCAGCCGATGTCCCCAACATAGGGGTTGGGGTTGCAGTTTCTCTCGGCGTAATCGTCTCAAGACATTTACACCGTGATATAAATCGCACATAAAGATGACTCGATGCTCGGTATGGAACTTATCACCAGCACGATTCGAGATCACGATTCAATCCACGGTTCGATAATTTTTATCTCATTCATAACGACTCGTCCGCATCATTTCTACATGCGTTTTGTCTTGTTTGTAAAGCTGTGTTCACTCCATACCATGAACGTGGCATTAGCGTATTATTTCTCTATTTATATACATTTTAAATAAATTATGCTCACAAACGTGATTAATTTCACCACCCGTGCTACCGCTGAGCCATGTCACCGCCCATGCTACCACCGGGCCATGTATCGTGCACAGGAGCGGACTTTATGGCTCCATCTCCACAGTGGACGTACTCTCGGGCACGGCCTCTCCTTTGGCTGCCACTCCCTCGTCTTTGTCGACCACCATCCATTGCCCCCTCTTGCGACAATTTCCCACCCAAGTCCCCTTACCACGCTTAACAGTCGGTATGACGTCTATAGTTTGCATATGTTCTCTATTCCGAGTGTTCCTCTTTCTATCTTTGTGTAATACGGCACTATTAAGTACATAATTCTATAATAATCCATGTGGGGCGGGGGGGGGGGGAGTAAAACAGCCCTTCGATTGATAGGGATGCTGCAGTATTGCTAGAAGCATCGCAGCCCTATTATACGTGTTGTGTCAGTGATTCTGAGACGAGGTTCGTAGGAGGCACCTTCTTTCTTAGCAACGTTCACGGTCTTGTCCACACACTCTCCACAGTCGCTTAGCCTGGCCTGTACACAACACGAGCCGTCTAACACTGACGGCGTTGACTGAGACAGTCAACAACTCTCCTGCAGCGCAATATCTAGCGAAGACGGCAGCAATGACGGCGACGAGATGACAGCGACGACGAGTCCACTCCCAGAACCGGCAGCCACGAGCTCCCGCTCTCGGCTCCTTTTATCCTACCAGCACGGTCTGGCCCCGCCCTGACCGCGCCTCCCTTCTCGAACCTACTAGCAGGTTCCAGGGACCTCCAGATGGGGTCGTCCTTGACTCTTGCCCTAGTTCCTCCGCTCTGCTAACACACCCGTGCACACCCTCACCGGCGTGTGTACTGTCTGTCCACCACAGTTGCCGCTGCTGTCCACCAGCCGGCGCTATTACACTACATGTGTATGTATTTGTGATTCATTTCTTTCGCACTATACGTAGCCAACCGTGCCAATCCAGAGGTCACTAATTTGATTCATTAACCCAGTGTGGCATTTGAGCTTTTAAATTCCACTCCCCTGCCATCCCCGCCTGCCCGCCCGTCCACCCCGTCTTTGTCCACCCAGTAGTATAAATGGTGACACCACAGTCGACGATAGATCGCATTTGGTGGGGTAAAATCTGGGTATTACCACATCTTCCAAAGATGTCTGGCCAGCATGAAAGAGCACTCCAAAGTATCCTAGGAGAAGGGCTTTCTGTAGCGCCCTCTGATGGAGTCCACACGGACAAAAGTTGAAGGGCCTCCAATTGCACTGCTGCTCCGTTACGCGGTGACTTTCACTGCAATGCTCAAAAGAAAACACCCGATTCTTGAATCGAATCGCTACGATCCATCGAACCGCCAAGGAGGGTGAATCGTTACACCTTTGACAGACAGACAGACAAAAGCAATCAAGACAAAATGTAAACGAGGGGGATGCAGGGATCGGCCATAAGCACCAAGGATAAAAGGACGGACGAATGCAGCGCGGGAGATCAGTCGAATAGTTCGACAGATGCACAGAGCAGACCCCCTCGTACAACACTCCTGCTGCGGTGGCACATCTATGTTGGCATGCACACATACGGGCTCTGCCAAACGCAAAGGCGATGCTCACAAGATTAGAGCGGAGTGCACAATTAAACAGAGCGCGCGATGGAGGGGG